TTTTTTTTTTTTTTGGTACCAGGGCTCCAACTCAGGTCCTTGTGCTTGAGAACTATATTCTAATCTCTAAAGATATAAATGTTTCAAACAGGTTTCTTTTCTTTTTTTTTTCAGGTTTCTTTTTGGGGGGGTGTTGAGACAGGATCTCACTATGTAGCACAAGCTAGCCTCAAACTCACAGCGATCCTCCTGCCTCAACCTTCTGAGTGCTGGGATTACAGGTACCACCATGCTTGGCTCAAGCAGGTTTCAAAACAGTATCACAATTATGTTCAGTGAAAGAAGCTAGTGACAAAAGAACACATATTGCCTAATCCCATTTATATGCAATGGCCACAAGAGGCAAATCTGTGGGGACAGAAAGGAGATGAGACAGAGGCAGGCAGAGAAAGGGGAGTAAAAGCTAATGGATCACAAGATTTCTTTTTGGAACAATGAAAAGGTTCTAAACTAGGTTATGGTGACGGTTGCACAACTGTGCAAACACAAAGCCATTAAGCCGCATGTTGTCAGCAGGTGAACTTTAAGAATTATAGCTCATAAAGCCTCTAAAAGTCATTATCACCATATGACTTTTGATATGGCTGGGTGTGTGGCCACACCTGTAATCCCTGAACTCTGGGAGGCTGAGGCAGGAGGAGCAGAAGTTTGAGCCCAGCCTGAGCAACTGAGGGAGACCCTGTCTCACAATAAAATTTTTTAAAGGGCTGGGGATAGAGTTCAGTGCAAGCTCAATGTCTAGTACTGCCAGGGGAAGGGGAAGGGGGAGGGGAGAGGGGGGAGAGGGGGAGAGCGCGTGCGAGAGCGAGCCCCCACGCTTTTCACTCTCCTCCTTTTATTCACCAGTGAGTTTGGTTGTTAATCGTGACCCTTATCCAGAGACACCTGCTTCCCTGTTTTCTAGTTCTTTGGGAATTCCCCACCCTCATGGGCCTTCCCGTTTCTCGGGCTTACAAAACGTTCATTATGGTCCAGGGCACTCTAATTCGGCAAGGAAGCGGTTCCTCATAACATAGTCTCCTTGCTCTATACAATGGAGGGTAAGATTCAAAATGGAGCCTCTATGGTTAACACCGCTCTCCACAAGTCAGCATTTGTTACAAGTGCGAGATGCGGTGTTCCTTAAGATGATGACCAACGCAGCTCATCCTGTCATTCTTACTTTTCCCATTTTTTAGCCTACTCTTTGCTTCCCCTAAATAATTTGGGGTTTTAACTTATTTTCATAATACAGGCCTCACTTTTCTAATACTGCCGCATGTTTTAAAAATTATCAGTTGCTTCTTCGTGAGCTTTAAGAAATGAATAAAACGGGGCCGGGGATTTAGCTCAGTGGTGCCGCTGCCTGCCTCGCAAGCGCAAGGTCCCAAGTTCGATCCCCGGTACCAAAAAAAAAAGAAATGAATAAAATAAAAAGGAATCTGACAGTTATAGCGCTCGACAAGTGATTCCTACCAAACTTGCCTGAGTCAATACAGAAACCCGCCAGCCGTTGGCACTCTGGGAAATGTAGTCCCAGCCAGCGGCGCGAGAGCGCTGAAGCACTTCCGTTTAGAAACTCTGGGAAATGGAGTCCAGCTGCTGTGAGCGGGTGGAGGCACTTCCGCTCACAGAAGGCGAGGTCGGCTCGGTGATTTCGCTGGGGAAGGTGAGCGCGCCGCGGGTCCCTGCGACCTCTCCGAGCCCTCTCGGCCTGGGCGTGCGGCCGGCGGACCCTGGGTCCGTGGCCGGGGAAAGAGAACTGGGGGAGGGCGGGAGCGGGAGGCGGCGCGCGCTCGAGCGTCGAGTCTGGGGTCTCCCACGCTCTCCGCTTCCCCAAACCTCCCCTCCACTCAAGCCAGTCCTGCTTCTTCCTCGCAGCTGGTACTGGGCAAGTCACTTCGCCCCTCCTTATCTCAGTTTCCTCGTGGCCATCAAGGATTCGTGGCTTGCAGGTTGCTTTTTTGTGAGAATTGAATGAAATTTTACATATATAAAATGCTTAAAAACAATGCGTGGGACATAATAAAATGTTGGAGGCTGCCAGTGATTCCACGGTTAATCCTCGGAGAGGCGTCCTTGTTCTCAAGCGAGCTCCAGTTGCGGAGTCGCAGCCCCTTCGCTCTGATCCTTGCCTGGTTTGGGGTTTTTCCCGGATTTCTGAACTCGTTTTAGCCACCACTTTAGGAGGGAGACGATTTCTTCCAACAGCAGCATGGGGAAGGCCCTGTGTTTATACTGGACAGAGAAACTAGTATGATCACAGATTTGCAGAGTGCCCGACATGATGAGAGGCCTTAATAAATTTTGTGCAACACTGTTTCTTAGTTGCAAGTTTTTGTCGGTCATTACCTTCACGCATTTTGGAAAAGACACTGTTCAAGCGCGCCCAGGTTATCACTTGCAAGTAATTTGTACTTTTTAGACAGGAGAAATCCGTGATAACTTACTGTTATTGATGGAACAGATTGTATATGAGACACCCATTCACAACAGCGCAATCAATGTCCGAGTTTCTAAAAAGCACATTTTAATGGGCAGTTTTATGAAGTATAGCAGCACTTGCTTGTTTGAAACTACAGGAAGTAGAGAGTATTATTGACATTACTGTCCCATTTCCATGTAGCTCTGGCGGGTTCCAGAGACATTAATAACTTGCTCAAGCTTCACATTGCTAGCTGGTAGAAAATAAATGAGAATGCCAGAATCTGAACCAAGGCATTTTGGCCCCATTAGAATAACAAGAAGTGGGCCCGGGATTTAGCTCATTGGTTTCGCCTGCTGCGCAAGCGCAAGGACCCGAGTTCGATCCCTGGTACCAACCAACCAAACAAAAAAGAATAACAAGAAGTGTTTGAGTTAGAACTGTTAGAAGGGTTATTCGTGAAGGAAGGCAGCTGGCTCGAGGAGCTCAGTTCGATGGCGGATCCAGCCCTTACCTCCCCAAGGTGCGCGCAGCTGCGTCTGCGTCCACGGGAAGCGCACGTGGGCTAACTGCACCCCGGCATCTTTCACGATATCTTTTCCTCCCTAGCCTGACCTGCCCGCGCTCTGCCTTTTCCCAGGAGGAAAAGGAGAACAATGACCAAGTTCCAGGTAAGCTGTTTGCCTCTGTGTCTCTTAAAATGACATCTCATTTTTATCGTTCTTGGGAAAGGTCACAGGATACCAGGGGCAGTGAGAAAATGTTACATGGCAGGCTCTTGCCTTTTATTTCCAAATAAGAGTGTAAAAACTAAATTTTTTAAAAAAGGAAAAACAGGGCCAGGGATTTAGCCCAGTAGTTCCGCCACTTGCCTCGCAAGTGGAAGGACCAGAGTTCGATCCCCGGTACCAAAAAAAAAAAGGAAAATCATTATAAACATGCTTAGGGCCAGGGATGTAGCACAGTGGTGCGGTGCCTGCCTGACAAGCGCAAAAGCAAGGTCCTGAGTTCCATTCCTGGTACCAGGGGGAAAAGATGCTTAAAAATCAGCTGCCTTCATTTCCCCATATTCCTTCTCATTGCACTCATAGGTATGTATTCATAGTCATACTTTGGGTACAATTTTGAGTTTTAAATTTTGTTTTATTTTGCCTACATTTTAAATGGCCACTTCATTTTCCATAGTTTGCCTAATTTTATTTTTCTTCATTCTCCATATTTGTGTGCTTTATCAATTTTTGCTGTTTTGAAGACATTTGCAGTCACAGTTTTTTGCTTTTTCCCCTCAATTTAAGAATTCTGAAGATTCTGTATTTTTGTCCTTTACATTCTAGAGTCTTGTTGTTTTCCCATATGTGGCGTCTCATTTTGTGGAAGGAGTCTTGTGTGGCTTGGTTTAATAGGATCCTGCTGATAATGACAACAGAGGAAGTAATTTTAGCCATTTCAAACAAGAGCAGCTAAAATTTTTTCTTTAATTCTAAGTCATACAATGTATTACAGTTTTATAGTTAAGTATCTGTTTTAAACATGAATTTTAAAGTAGAACATCTTAGTTTGAAAAGCCTAATGGCCTTAGGGACTTGCCAGGCACTACTGCATGGATAAGCTGTGTGAACATAGAGATTTGTAAACCTTTAGGTACCTACTGATGTCCACTCAGTGCCCAGCTGACACTAAAATTTTTAATCCCCAAGCCAAGTCATTCAGGTGATGGAAGAACAGGAAGGATTGACAGCTCGCCATTCAGGGCCTTGACAATGTGTGGCGTGTGTTCCTGGCATGTCCTGGTGGATGAAGAGCTCCAGAAATAACAGTGTCCTCACCTGTTCCCCTTCTAGGGCTGACTTTTTGCCAGATGTGTCCCTTGGTCATTGAGTACACGCTCAGCACTCTGACCAAATCAAAGGCAGAAAAGCAGAATCTTTAGATACATAACATGTTAATTTCCACACTGAAAAACACCACACATAGAGCTATGAGGTAAATAACAAATGGGAATGGGAGATTACACTACCTGAGAGAGATTCAGTATTCGTGATAGGAGTCTTCTGATGCATAAGACACCCAGGAGGGCTGAGCAAAGTAAAGGGTGGGCAATATGTAAACATTTTTTAATTCAATAAATGGAAGTTTAAAAAGGGACTTTTTATTACTTACCAAAATTGCTCAAGATTTTAAAAAATAAAATAATGGAGAATCAAAGATACTTATGCTCTCTTACAGGACAAGTTAATTGAGAAAATAGCCATTATATTAGCAAAATGGAGGGGTTTTTTGTTTTGTTTTGTTTTTTGGCAGTGGTATTATCACTTTTTGGCACTTCTTGTAACAAATAACCAGACTGAGTTGGCTGAGATCTATGTAAAAATGTTTCTTACACTATTGTTTTATAATTCTCAAGTTACTGAATTGTGTGTTTTTTGTAATGATTAAATACATTATAGATCATTACTTTTATAGAATACTGTGTAGCCAGGAATGGGATAAAATAGCTAATGGTGATGGTGATGATGCTGGCATTTATTGAGCACTTACATCAGACACTGCCACATGGTTTCACTCAGTTGATCTCTTCAGGGGCCTTAGGGTGTAAGTACTGTCATACAGAGGAGGAAGCTGAGGTATTGAGAAGTTAGGTGACTCAGCCAAGCACCTTGGACAGTAAACTGAGGCAGTTTCTGGAGCTGTGCTCTTCACCTTGGCCCTGAATGCTGCCATGGTTACAGATAGGGCACATTCCTGCAAACACAGAGAATGAACTACATCATCTATCCCAGGGAGTTAGTGGGGGCTGTTAGGTTGGTGAGCACTGACAATAGTTGAGTACCCCTTATCCGAAATGCTTGGGACCGGAAGTGGTTCAAGTTGCAGAGACTTTTGGATTTTGGAATAGTTACATAGAATTTACTGGCTATGCATCCCTAATCTGAAATCCAAAATGCTCTAAAACTTAAAACTCTTTAAATGGTGTCACTTCTCAGAAATTGTCCAATTTGGAGCATTTTGGATTTTTAGAAAAGATACACTCAGCCTGCATTGCCCAGTGAGAGGAGATTGGCATTGCTGACACAAATGGGACAAAATCAACACATTTTTGACAAGATTGGCACTCTCAGATTATAAAATGTGTGAATACACGATTGAACAATGACAATTCTAGGAACTTAAGTACCTAAAGGACACCATGTTACATGTACCACGTATTTTTTACCGCCATCCCTAAGCACTTTTGGTATGGTTGTGGAAGGGGAAGAAAAGGAACTCTGCTGAAGGAGTTGCCTGGGTCCCAGTGGCCAGTGGATATAAGATTGAGGTAACACATGTTGGATGTTGTAGGAAGCAGTGACCTTCAAAGACGTGGCTGTGGTCTTCAGTGAGGAGGAGCTGGGGCTGCTGGACTCTGCCCAGAGGAAGCTGTACCGCGACGTGATGCTGGAGAACTTCAGGAACCTGCTCTCTGTGGGTGAGGCCAGCTCGCTGTGTAACTTGACCTCATCTCCTTGAGGAGGGTTTCTTGATCTTGGTGCTGTTAACTTGGCGGTATTTGGGGCTGGATAGTTGTTTGTTATAGGGGCCAGCCTGTGCACTTTAGGCTGTTTAGCAGCATCCATGGCCTCTGCCCAAGATAGCTCCCCACAGTGAAACTCTCCAGAGCAGTTTTGCAGTCCTCCTGGAGTACAAAGAGTTGCTGGTCTTTGTTCCAAAGCAAACTTGTCTTTGTAAATGAACAACAAATGAACAGTAGCACTTAGCTGTTCCAGAGTCCCTATTTCTTATCTCTTACAAATCATAATCCAGTGATGGGTTGTGAAATTTACTAATCAGCATTTATGTAATGAAACAGAGTAGCAGGGTCAGTGCTTGTTAGGAAGAGCTCTATGTGTTGTAGCAGTAACTGTAGATGATGGAGTAAAAGGCATGAGACCTGAAGGGACCTGATGAAGACACATTAGTCAGAAACAGATCACTGAATCTCTTATTTCAGTGGTTTGTCTTTCTAATAACAGTAAATGTATTTCTTACACTGTGTCATGATTAAAAATGTCTGATAAATATTGCTTGGTGGGGCAAGGTGGAACCTTATATTATGGGATGAGAAGCAGAATTTTTCAGTACTCTTCGTCTTTAACATTCTCCTATAAATTTTGTCTTTTCACAGGCCATCAGTCCTTCAAACCAGATGTGATATCGCAGTTGGAGAGAGAGGAAAAGCTTTGGATGACAGAGATCCAAACCCAAAGAGGTAGGCATTCATGAAGCTGAGAACTGTGCCACTGGAGCCATGGTAGGTAGCAGCCTGGTTGTTCTGCCTCTATTCAGAGTGACCTCTTCTCTGCCTGCCAAGCAGGGAGCCCCTTTGACAGTCGGATCTGGCCACTCCTTTGCCTCCTACCCTCCCCCGGCTTCCCATTCCACTAGGTAAACAGCCTTTCTAAGGGGCTTGTCAGGTGTCATAAGCATTGTTCATTCCCCTAGCTTTACCACTCCACACGTTTTCTCCTGTCATTTCCCACTTCTTTGTCTCTTCACCCTCAAATGTGATAATTATGTTTCTGTGTCAGAGCCTTTTCCTTTTCTCTGGCTGGAATCCAGTAAACCTCCGCCCTTATTTCATTCATACATCTGCTTAGAAGTCATTTGATTAGAGGCCTTCTCTGTCCAGCCCGTTTAAAATACTATCTTCCTTTCACTCTCTGTCCTTAATTTGCCCTAATTAATGTCTAAGCTCTATACCATCAGACTTACTAGCATGTATATCTTTTTAGTTGTGGTAAAATATGTAACATATACTTTAACATTTTAACCAATTTTGAGTATACAGTGGTATTAACTTCATTTCACATTGTGCTGCACCTGTATGTTTATAATTGTTAAATCTTGTCTCTATTAGACTTTTTTTTGTTTTTGATACTGGGGATCGAACTTGGGTCCTTGCACTTGCAGGGCAGGCAGCAGCACCACTGAGCTAAATCCCCAGCTATAACTTAAATCTTGAGGAGTTGACTTTGAGCATTAAATAATGTTCTTCATGTCTTAAAATTTTTTTAACTTAATGCCCATTTTATCTGATATTAGGACAGCTACCCGTGCTTGTTTTTAGTTACTGTTGGGCATGGAATATCTTCTTCTATTTTTTTCACTATAAACCTGTTTGTGTTCTTAGATTGAAACATATATTTGGTTCTTAAGGTTTTTTTAATGGTATTAGAGTCATTTTATTTTTAAAAACTGCCACACAATTGTAGAACATAATGCTTACATTCCTTCTGTGGAGTATGTAACAAATCTTAATTCTTTCTTCATCCTCTTTTCCTCCCCTCTCCATTTGAGAAAGATCTGTCTCCCTACTCCCTATTATCTTTTATTTTGCTCTTTATTTATAATTTGGGTTTTTCATATAAGAGTAACCATGCAGTATTTAAGCTTCCATGATTCTTAGTTTTTAAATGCATCTTTTCAGTCTATGTCTTTTTATTGGGGAGTTTAATCTGTTAAAGTAGGACTTACTGTTTGTGGGGGACTTAACTGAGGAGTGAATGGTTAAACTGTGGGGCAAAAGCATGCAGGCCCTGTGAGATGTGAATGGTTACATAACAAGAGGTTTAGATTAGTGAACCAAGTTGTCTCTGTCTTTAGTCCTTCCCCTTTCCCCAAGAAAACTGCCTAGCCTTCAGACAGCTCCTCGCCCAAACTGCTTTACTTCTTTTCCTCAGCCTGGGCTGATCCCAAATTTCCTACCATTTTTAATGTGGCTCTCTCTTGAGTCAACATTCTCTTTGTTGCTATAAATCTTTTGCAGAGCTCCTACAAATTTATTTTAGCTTGCTTGTAGTTTTCTTTTTTAATGTTTCCAAAGGGAAATAAAGACTGAGCTTCCTACTTCACGTTCTTGCTGATGTCATTTTGTCTTTTTTTTTTTTTTTTGGTACCGGGGATTGAACTTAGGACCATGCAATTACAAGGCAGGTGGCGGAACCACTGAGCTAAATCCCCGGCCCCATGTTTTGTCTTTAATTCCTTATTCTCTTTGTTCTTCTAGGAAACAGGAATCAAAACAAGATGGAGATTCTTCATGAAGCAGGGTTGAGGTGCCTTTCACTGGGAGAGCTTTCACGTTGGCAAATCAAGAGACACATTCTAAACAAACTAGCTCAAAGTCAAGACTCCATAATAAATATTCAAGGAAAGAGTTCTTGGTTCCCCAAGCAGTGTGATTCCTCCTGCCATATGAGAGCAGAAGAATCTTGTCAGGCATCTATAGAGGACAGCTGTCTTGTGAATCTTCTAGAGGATCGTTCCAATGTTATTGAAAATCAAGAATTTCCAACCGAAAGAGCTCAGAGTCCTTGGAGTAAAATATATCTCAGTGAGACACAGAACCAACAGAACAATTATAAGCCAACTCAGATGAAAAACAAATTATGTATCTTTGCTCCATGTGTTGATATTTTAAGTTGTATTTCCCACCACCGTGATGATTCTGTAGTGCACAAAATGGAGGAAGCTCACAGCCACAGCACATGTGGTAAAGAAGTCCTAAAGGTGTCAGCATTTACCCAGCATTGTATTTACACAGGACAGAGAAACTACCCGTGCAGTGAATGTGAAGCAGCTTTCATTGACTGCTATAATCTTGAACTTCATCAGCAAGTGCACTTGGGAAAGAAGTCGCCTATGTGCAGTATATCTGAGGAGGATACCAGTTATAGTCCGAGTATTCCTGTTCAACAAAATGTTCGCACAGGGAAAAAGCGCTATTGGTGTCATGAATGTGGCAAAGGTTTCAGTCAGAGCTCAAATCTGCAGACTCATCAGAGAGTCCACACGGGGGAGAAGCCCTATACATGCCCTGAATGTGGTAAGAGCTTTAATCAGAGCTCACATTTGTATGCTCATTTGCCTATTCACACAGGAGAGAAGCCCTACAGGTGTGACAGCTGTGGAAAGGGCTTCAGTCGCAGTACCGATCTTAACATTCACTGCAGAGTTCACACTGGGGAGAAACCTTATAAATGTGAGGTGTGTGGGAAAGGCTTCACTCAGAGATCCCATCTTCAGGCCCATGAAAGAATCCACACTGGAGAGAAGCCATATAAATGTGGTGATTGTGGTAAACGCTTCAGTTGTAGCTCAAATCTTCATACCCATCAGAGAGTCCACACTGAGGAAAAACCATACAAATGTGATGAGTGTGGGAAGTGCTTCAGTTTGAGCTTTAATCTTCATAGCCATCAACGAGTGCACACAGGAGAGAAACCATATAAATGTGAAGAGTGTGGGAAGGGTTTTAGTTCAGCCTCCAGTTTCCAGAGCCATCAGAGGGTCCACACAGGAGAGAAACCATTTCGATGCAACGTATGTGGTAAAGGCTTCAGTCAGAGTTCATATTTTCAAGCCCATCAGAGAGTCCACACTGGAGAAAAACCATACAAATGTGAGGTGTGTGGGAAGCGCTTCAATTGGAGCTTGAATCTCCACAATCATCAGAGAGTCCACACAGGAGAGAAACCCTATAAGTGTGAGGAATGTGGTAAAGGTTTCAGTCAGGCCTCAAACCTTCAAGCTCATCAGAGTGTCCACACTGGAGAAAAACCATTCAAATGTGATGCATGCCAGAAGCGGTTCAGCCAGGCCTCACACCTTCAAGCCCACCAGAGAGTCCATACTGGTGAGAAACCCTATAAATGTGATACATGTGGTAAGGCCTTCAGCCAGAGGTCAAATCTTCAAGTCCACCAGATCATCCACACTGGTGAGAAACCATTTAAGTGTGAGGAGTGTGGGAAAGAATTCAGTTGGAGCGCAGGTCTTAGTGCTCATCAGAGGGTCCACACTGGAGAGAAGCCCTACACATGTCAGCAGTGTGGGAAAGGCTTCAGTCAGGCCTCACATTTCCACACACACCAGAGGGTCCACACTGGAGAGAGGCCTTACATATGTGACATCTGCTGTAAGGGCTTCAGTCAGCGATCACATCTTGTCTACCATCAGAGGGTCCATACTGGAGGGAACCTGTAAAATTCGAGGTGTGAAGTAGCCTTCGTCTAGAGCTCATGTCTTCGTCTCCTTTAGAAGGCCCTGGTTGACTGTGGGAAACTCTTCAGAACTGAGAAGCTCCTTAAATGCTGTGCTTTAACGACTCAGGTTAATTCCTTACAAATATCAGATTTAACATAAGAGAAAACTGTTCTATAAATGTGACCAGTGTTTATACCAAACTTGCAAAGTGTCCCCATTCTCAGGATGTGATACAGCAGAAGAATCTTAACATTTGTCAGAATCTACCAGGAGAGAGGCCTTATAAAATGAAGATTATGGGCAGGACTTTAATGAAAGTATGATTGACAACTGGTGTCAAAGAAAGTGTAACTTCCACTAGGGAGATTCTCACTCTGTCTCTGCCATGCAGAGCTGGACTTGGCTTATAATAGGGCCAAGTTTCTCAGCAGTTTCTGAGAAAGTGGAGAAAAATCCCTATAATTAGGACCTATATATAAAATTGCCAGTCAGTTTCCTACCTTATACTCATTAATTTATATCCATAAGGAATCCTGAAGTAGCCTTAATGACAATTTCAGGAAATAGGTATAAAAAATTAGTGCTGCCACCATGGCAGTACAAATTTGGACAAAAGACTTGCAAATCACTTCGGCCCACTGCAGCCTCAGTTCTTTGTACAGTGTATCAGTTGTACACAGTGTAATTTTTTAGTATTTGTACTTTAGATGAAAAGCACTTTTATTGATAATGTGACACTACAATTTATATGATTAGTATTTGAGTGCCCTAATTCATTAAGGTAGGGTTTTACTGTAACTGAAAATGTTAAAAGTGGTTGCTGATGACAAAGATTTTTAGTAAACTTAATTCTTGTTAATTGGTTTCTTATTATTTTCACCCAGGCTTAGGCCAAATTCCTTTTCTATGTGTACTTCATCTAGGTTTCTCTACGAAAAGCTTTGACTGCATCTCAGTCTTTTGTGGTGCTATAACAAAGTCTCTGAAACTGAGTAATTCATACATATGAGAAATTGATTTCTTACAGTTCTGGAGTCAAGTCCTGGAAGTTGAAGGTCAAGGGGTTTGCATAAGGCAAGGCCCTTTTTAGTGCATTTTTCTCTCATGGCAGGAGGTAGTGGTGGAGAAGGGAAGAGGAGGAATGTTGACTCAACTCCCATGATAGGAACCTATTCCCACGATAACAGCATCAATCCATTAGTGACCTAATCATCTCTTAAAGATCCCACATCAACACTGTCATATTAGGGATTAAATTCTCAACACATGAACTTAAAGGGACCTATTCAAACCATAGCAGGCAGATTTCAAGGTCCTTAGTTTGCAGATTCCTCATGCCTAGTGCTCTTCCTCTCAAAATGGGGAGAGGGGTATGCCAGAAACCTGTTGAATTTTGATGGGTTAGAGTTTGACACCTCGTGGTGTGAATGAACACCCTGAGGTTTTGTGAGATTTCTTGGAGAATAGGTATTAACATACCCTTTGACCTGGCAGTCTCAGCACTAGAAATGTTGCTCAGGAGATTGTACCAACAGTGAGAGCATATACAAGGATATTCCGAATTTTTAAAAAGAGGAAATAGTAAAAGATTTGACTAAATCTTGCTGTGTTCTAATATACAGCCATTAAATGGATCTATAATGAGAGGAAAAGAACTCATAAGAAAATTAGGTTAGAGCCTTTGTAGTGTGATCCAGTTAATAGAAGTCTACCTAAAGATGACCATATGCATAAAGATAATGCACAGAAGGAAATCTAATAGCCTGGCAGGGAGTATGGGACACTTGTTTTCTTTGACTTCTCAAAAAGTTACAGTGACATCAATTTTATCAAAGCAATGACACTGAAACATGAGTTATACATAAATGGAAATCTGTTTTACCTCATTAAATGGCACATAAACCTGTTAAAGATGTACACAAAAGGACACTTGGGAATAGCAAACTCTGCATTCATTAGTTGACTGTCAATATATTTGGAAGCTTATCCATACAGTGGAATATTATGCAGATGAAAGAAGGTTAAGTCATAATTATTACTGGTAGGCACCCAGAATATGTTTAGAAAAGTAGAGATAGAATTTTGTAGGGTTGTGTATGTGTATATACATGTGTGTATGCATGTACATGTATATGATCTCATTAAGCAGGTGTGGGGCCACACACCTGTAATCCCAGTCTTCTGAGAGGCTGAGGCAGGAGGATCACAAATTTGAGCCCAGCCTGAGAAATTTAGCAACTTAGACCATGTCTTTAAGTAAAAAAATAAAAGGGCTCAGTGTGAAGACCTGGGTTCAATCCCCAGCACCATAAAAATAATGGCGGGTGTGTCTTAATTACTTTTCTCATTGTTCAGACAAAATACCCAACACCCATTTATTTTGGCTTACAGTTTGTAGAGGTTTCAGTCCATATTCAGCTGGATCCAAGGCAGAGGGGCAGTGCAAAGAAGAAATAGTCCATGCAGGGCAGGCTGGAAGCAGCAAGCAGAAGCAGCAAGCCTGCCTTCCCTCTTTCCCTTTATAGTCCATCCAGACTAACAATCTATTGATTGGTTCCACCTATACCCAGGGTGGGGCATTCATTATCCACACTCAGAACTATGCTAATTCCAATCAGTGGACTAAATTAGTACCACACACCCTTAATCCCAGTGTCACACAGCCTAGATCCAACCAGCTCTGAAAAGACCCACCTCTGAGCTCATGAGGTTTAGAGGGACAGCTAGATACAAGCCATAATGGTATTATATCATTTCTTTCTACTTGTTTGGGTAATTTTTTAAAAAATATTTTAAATTTTTTATGTTGAATATATACTAAACATTCAGAAAAGATGGATGAACACTACCAAGAATTCCAGGGGCTACCCGCTTTCCGGTCCCCCTCCTGTCTCTCTTAGGCAGAACTTTCTTTTTTTCAATAAATTAAAAAAAAAAAAAGAATTCCCATGCATTCTTGGAGTCTAGTGTAACTGCATTCTGACCTGTTTGCTCACATGTCTATGCCTGAACTGAAAGAGTGCCTGGCTTCAATTCCTCAGGTGTTTCTATACAGTGTTCTCTTCCACATGGTGACTCCACAGCCGCTGGAGCCTACGTGGAAGCCAGCATCCCCAGGAAGCCAGGACAAGTGCTATGGCCTTTTCTACTCCGACCTTGGAATTCATATCATCACTGCAGACGAATGAGTGCATTGTAGCAGTCTCAATAGCTCATCCACAATCAAAGAGCGAGAAGGGAGTTTGTAAACATGTTTTTAAGACTGGTGAACACAGACCACAATATTTAAGACCAAAATATCACACTATTATTTCCTAATCAACAGTTACTCAAATTATATAGCTGTCCCATTATATGCTTATAGCATTTTTCTATTTCAGGATCCAACCTGAGATTTATCATGCTCTGCATTTAAATTTTCATATTTTTTAAAAGTCATTAATCTGGATGGGTCCAACAACTATATTGTCTTTCATGAAATAGGCATTTTTATTTATTTATTTATTTATTTTGGTACCAGGGATCAAACTTAGGACTTTGAGCTTGCGAGACAGGAAGCAGAATTACTGAGCTAAATCCACAGTCCCTCAGTATTAGTTTTAAGTGTTTAAGTGAAAATGAAGAGATGTACAGACTGGAAAGAGATAAAATCATATCTGCATGTGCCATCACCTGTTTTAAAATATAGTGTAGTCAGGCTGGGGACTTAGATCAGTGGTTCTGCTGCCTGCCTCGAAAGTGCAAGGTCCCAAGTTCGATCCTGGGTACCAAAAATAAATAAACTATATATATATATAGTAATAGAATAACTGAAATCTGCCAAAGAGAGTAGACTAGGAGCCAATTGCTGCTGAGGTGAGTTTATTACACTTCCCAGGAGGGAGAGGCAGGCCCATCAAGGGAAGGACCTTCATGGAAGCATCAGGGTCAGCCAGTGCCTGGGCTGCACTCAGACCTACAGCAACCTCTCCAGAACAGTGCAGTTACTTCTTGTTGGAAGTCTCATTACATTGTCTTTTTTT